AGAACTGAAACAAACTTTTGTGGGAGCATATTTTATAAGTTGTTCTTGGCTTTGGTCTTCCTGACTGTTCTCCATAAAGTTGGACTGTTTTGTGCTTTTTTTTCTCTTAGCTCCTTTCTTCTGTCACCTGTAATAATAGCCTTTTGAATTTTGTCTCTGAACTTAACATGAGTTGCTTTAAAGTTTCTTCTCCAGTTTTTCATGATCAGGACTGTTTTTCATCTATGAGACACAATTTTTTAAAAAATGTATTTAGTACAGGGTCTACAGGGTCTCACTATGGACTCTAGTGACTCTCCTGTTTTTAGCCTCCCAAGTGCTGGGATTACAGGTGCACACCACCAGGCACAGTCTCAATCCCTGTTTTAGCATACCCTGGGGGTGGGGGCTGGCATGGCATGTGGGGATCAAACCCTGGCTGCTGCACTCTGCCTAAGCAGGTGCTTCAGTCAGTCCACTGAGCTATCTGACCAGCCCTAAAAGGCACAGTTTTGCTCAGAAATTTGCCATCCTGAGGGTTTGAGACATCTTGATCCCCCCCCCCCCCAAGAACTGGGGATTGAACTCGGGCCCTTGTGTTTGCCAGGCAAGTGCTTATTCTACTGAGCCATCTCCCTCGCCCCATCATGCTTTAAAAAAAAAAAAATTCTTTCTGTATTTGGTACAGAAATAAAACAAAAATTTTGTTATTTATTATATGGGTTTCACTGTGCTTGGACTCCTGTTTCAGCTTCCCTAGCACTGAGATTACAGGCATGCACCACTACACCCAGTCTTGGTGGCCAGCTCAGGGTGCCCAGGGTGGAGCGGGGCTGGCATGGCACAGCACAACATGGCATGTGGTACCAGGGTTCAAAGATGGATCCTTGTGCTTGCTTAGGCAGGCACTTAGACTACTGAGCTGTCTTCATGGCCCTGCTGTTTCAATTGTCTATCTTGCCTTATTTTTGAAATATGCCCTTTTGTGTAAGCAGAAATACTTCATATTGTTAGGATGTAGAGTGCTGAAGCCATAAAGTCTATAGGTAATTTTAAAGTTAATTTTTTTCTCAGTATTAGCTATTTTTTCATTTGTTTTTTGGTTGCCTAGCAGGGCGGGCTGGCTAGGTGGCTCTCTCTCTCTCTCTCCCCCCTCCCCCTCCCCC